GAAGTTAGGGCTAACTCAGGGCTGAAGACCAATATATTCAAAAGGTTCTCCTTTGGGGGAACTGAAATAAAATTCTTCCATGTATTATTTTGTTAAAATGAACCCAAATACTATGTATAATTATAATGCTCTGTTAAAAAAAATAAAAGAGATTATCCTAGCGAATGATGGCGGATTGCTCTGAGCGAGCCAGGAAGGCGGTGTACACTGTATGCTTGGTCTGTATGGGAGGGTCTCTGCTCAAGGGTACTTGAACTCCTCCTCAAGAGGCACCGACTGAGGGCTGAGATTGGGCTCCGAGGCATGGGCTTCCTAGCGTGGTGACTCAAATCAGATCTCTGCACTTAAAACCTGGAGTGTTTTCAGTTATACAAATAGAGTAGAACTGTTTTGATCTTAGGGGCCCAGTGGTGAATAAGCCATGGCTAAAAGGCCTTGGACCAACTATTCTGATAACCTTGCCAGCCCAACTGCCTGCCATGTCCAGCAGTCCTGTGGTGGTGTGTCCTTCTGCAGCCCTGGGATCCTAGGATTCTCAATGAGACCAAGAAGCTCATTTCACAATCAGCATCTCCCACGCCTTTCTCCGTGGGGAGCCGCTCTGGACAGGAGCTGTGTACAGCCCTCAGGGCCTGAGTAAAGAGGCACCCACTGCAAAGCAGTTTGGACTTTCCTCCGCCCAGGTAAGAAAGGTGCAGCTCCTGGAGTGGGCACCACCGATGGGGTGGGATCACACCCACCTGCTTGATGTGACCCTGCCCGTTGCCCTTTTTTGGATAGAATGTTCCATGGAATAGTCCCCCCAAAATAAGAGCCGAGCCTCAGAACCGCCCCGCTGTCTTGCCAGACTCTCATGTTTCCCTCTTGCCCCCCTTTGTGGGAGCTTGAGGCCGGGAGCCAGGGAAGCCGTCCTGACGCCCAGAAAAAGGTATTTGGTGTCTGCGTGGTCATTTCGTGTCACCCCAGATTCACCCGAGTGACAGACATGTTACTAAACTCAACCACTGAAATTAGAATATATGATTCAAGCTTAGCAGTCGGCAAAAGAGGCTCTATGAAGTTGTTTTCTTCTGACACTTAACAACCTCTACTTTTGACACTTTTATTTATTTTTTAAAGTCTGTTCTTTTTAGATATACACGGCAGTAGAGTGTATTTTGACATACGTACATGAAGTATAACTCATTCTAATTAAAAAAAAGTATGAATTGCAAATCCTCCCCCACAAAAACAGGTCTTTGTTCAAACCAACTTACTTATATTTTTTAATCTGTTTCTTATTATAAAAAAGAGATCCAAAAAATTAAGCAAAATCGGAATCCATCGTCATCTGTAGAAAATTGTTTAGACTGGGCCTAAATTCTCTATGGTGTCGATTTCTCCTCGGATAGGAACTCGCTCCTGCTGGCCGTTCTGTCTGGTTCTCTCATGTTTGGTTTGAACTTATGAATATATATAAAAGGATCAGAAGAAATGAGAAAATGCCCTGTTGTCTTTCCAGCTGAATCTGAAATCAGAACAAAACTGTCATGAATTTTCTAGTCACAAGTTGCATTGGAATTTGAAGCCCTGGAGGCATATTTTTGGCTTGGAAATATTACCTTCATCTGCCACCTTCCATGAGTAACAAGAGACTGTCACCAGTCGAGGTCCCCTCTGCATGGCGTGTGATTCCTTCCCATGCAGGTATACATGCTAATTTGTCCAGCACACCCCTGGTCCGTCTTAGATAATCACGTCAGATTCTGAAAACACAGTTCTGAAAAGACCTGGTCCCTGGACTGAAGGAGTTCACAGTGTGATAGATGAGGCAGATGTCTAAGCAGGCACAGGTGACAGGTGTGATAACCACCGTACATACAAGGAAGAGTGTGGTCCAGAGAAGACACAGTTAACTGGAGTTGGAGGGTGGAGTTAAGGAAGTCTTCAAGAGAAAGGAGACTGCTGCCTCTGGAGGGTAATGAGGTTTCCCTGGAGGAAGGGCAGAGACACTTCGGCTGGAGGCACTGGCTGGTGCACAGGTGGAGGGTGGGAAGCAGCCCGGGGCTTTGGGGAGCTCAGGTCATTGAAGTGTGGCCCTGGAGAAGGAGGGGCAGGAGATGGGGTGGGATGGGTAGGCGGAAGCCAGAGCACGGTGAGCCTTGAAAGCCAACTGAAGAATCTGTTGACCTCCTGCAGTTACTAGAGAGCCACGGTGACTTCAACAGAGACAAAGGTGGCATGGGAAGAAGTTGGAGGCAGGGAGAGCAACTTGAGCAGAGAATATGGCAACGGCTCCTGTAAGAGAGGCTGGCAAACTCACCATCCTCCTGCCTCAGCCTCCCAAGCTGCTGGGATGGTAGGTGTGCTCCACCGCGCCTGGTGACCTACGTGATCTCCATCATTTTTGTTGAGCACTGTTTCCATGGTTCCTTGTGTTGGAGGCCTGCGTTCCAGAGAGACTCGTGGGGCTGAAGGAAGGGGAGCCATCCTCTCACATTCCTCCTCTGACTCCGTGCTTCCAGTTTGACGGTTACCTTGTGACCTGTTTTGAGCACTGTGTAAGTTCTTTCCTCCTCATTCCCACAAACTTTTTTGGCACCTAATATGTACTTGGCCTGCTCATAGAGTTTGACGTTGTCCCTGGAAGGCTGCTAGATTGTTCTGTGACAGTAATGAACAAGAAAGAGATGGTCTCTGCTCTCCTGAAACTCAGAGTATTGGTGGAGGAAGAGAACAAAGGAATTTTTTACCATATGGCATGGATGCTCTCTTTGGGGAAGAGCAAGATACCTCTGGAGCAGATTGTGTGGTAGGGACAGAGGAGGCAGGGCACCGAAGACAGCAGGGAACAGTTTTATTTGGCTGCAGCCAGGTTCAGGGGGCACAGCTTTTGCTGTAATCCGTCAATCCCCTGAACCCCGAGTTCGGGGAGTTTCAGAGTTTTATACCCAGCGTGTAAGGGGAGGGGCTCAGAAGTTCACAGTCTGCAGAAGTTCACATAAAAGCAGCTTTTTCTTTCACTGTTCTGGGCAAGTTAACCCTTCAAGGACCACACCTGAGAAGGGGTGAGCTTCTTCTCCCCTTTCTTTCCTCCCCTGCCAGCTGTTACCATGGAGCCCAGTTGTAACTTATCTTAAAAATGTAGACATCTCTGTGAAGCCCAGCTCAAGGCCAGAGGCCTTGTTAAAGGATTTATTTTTATTTTTATTTTTTATGTTTATCACAGTTTGCATTTGCAAACACACTTCTACAAACTACCATCCTGGATAAAAGTTTGTAAACTAGTAAAGGGGCGTCCAGCACCTGGAGGGCTGATCTCTTCCAGGCCATTGGCCAAGCAATAGAGCAACAGGAAAATGGGAAGTTTTCCTCCATTGAACTCTTTGGTAATAGATAGTCCTAAAATCAATTATGGTGCAGATTTCTGGAGAAGCTTAGTTAAGATTTTCTGTGGAGGAGGGGATGCCACTACAGGAGAAGGAGAACCTGAGTTGGGGGATTTAGCATGGCTTCCTGTGGGAGAGGAGTCAGTCAGATGAAGAGCAGGTGGTAATATTCAGGAGGAGGAGAGTTCGGGAAAGACCTGGGGAGAAGGAGCCTGAGAAGAGCAAAAGAAGGTCTATGGACCTTGGGAACAGAGTGCCACTTGGGGACGGCAAAGGCTAATGCTGGGAAAGGAAGCAGGGGCTGATGACGAAGGGACTCGCAAGCTGTGTTACGGAGACTCTTGGGTTAGGGTGTCCCAAATGCAGAAGCTGAGGCAAGAATTCGGAGGGTTTATGTGAAAAGTGGTTCCAAACAGATGGAATGATGAAGAAATGGGGAAGACAGAGAAGGGAAGTGGCGAGCAGGCTGGGCCCTGCTCTGGGTTACTCCGTGGTGTTTGGAAGAGCGCTTCCCAGGCTGGTCCCGAACCTGGCTACTCCAGTGTGTGAGGCATTGGTTTGCTACGAGATGCTCCACTTTGAGTCCACGCCTCGTTTGTACAAGTGAACCACTGTCACCTGCTGGCACAGCCGTGGGCACAGATTGATAACCAACCTATACATGACAGCTTATCAGACTCAGTGAAGGAGTACTTGGGCCTGTGGCCATCCTAGATCCTGTCAGGACACCAGGCACTGGAGCTTATTAACCTCACCAGATGTAGCCCTCTCACCTCAGGACCCCCAAGAAGGGATCTCCCGGACATGGTGCTCCCTGACCCCATCACCTGGCCACCTGCCCAGGAAAATCACCTCAGTGAAGAACCTCTAAACTCTGTCCCCAGGCTTCAGCAGGGCATGTTTCTCCTGCCCATGGCGACCGTGCGCAGCCCGCTCCTACCGACACTCTGAAACGGAAACTGCCATCAGTTTGGATCCTCTGCCTCGACACCTCTGTGGATCTGGTTCTTTAAAATCCTTATCTGACCACCCGCAGGACTCTGGGACTCTTGGCTCAGCATCCTGTAACTCTAGGGCCTCTTAACTCTTTTTTACTCTCTCTGAGCTGAGTGTTATAGATACTAGAAATTGAGATTGGACTAAAGGAACTTGTGTTTGCCTGGCTTATGATGGTCAGGTGGCCCGTATTTGGTGAACTGCCACCAGTGAAAGTGGTGTAGCCTGTGGATTCACTGTTGTCCAATAGCAATAAACAACACGGTGGAAAGACACAGATGTGTTTGGTCTGTTAACGACATAGCTTTCTCATGACAGGAAGAAAGCCCACAAAAGCCATGGTGACAAGCAGGTGACTGCTCTGGGCCACTGAAGCTCCGTCCACTGGAGTGACGTCTCGACGTGCCTCTGGCTTGTCACACTGAGCCCAAGGAAACTGGGACACTCTCATATCTCCTTGGTTGGAGGCCTGTTCTGAACTCCTCAGAGAGGTCTGCAGGCCAACAGGCACAGCAAGCCAGTGTGTAAGGAGTGTGTAGGTGACAGCCAGGGCTGGCATGGCCCAGGGCACTCCGATGGCATTTTCTAAGCATCTAAACTTTTTTTCTTTTTTCTTTCTTTTATTTTTTGAGACAGGATCTTACTTAACTGCCGTGGCTAGCCTGGGAACTCGCGATCCTCCTGCCTCAGCCTCCTGAGTCTCTGGGATCACAGGTGTGAACCACCTCACCAGGTGAATGTCGTGTTTCTGTGGGTGTGAGAGGCTTGTTACGATATTGATGACGATTGAGTAATGGTAAATGAGATAACCAAGGGGTAGAATCAATGTGGGAAGAGAAGAGAGCCTATGCAATATTATTGAGAAAGACTAACATTTAAGGAGGAAGAAGAGTTGCTAATGGGGAAAATGAGAATAAGACACAGGAGAAAATTAGAAGAGTGAGAACTCATGGGACCTAAGGGAAAATTTTTAAAAAAATTGTTTTTCAGTTGTTGATTGACTTTTATTTATTTACTTATATGTGGTGCTGAAAATCGAACCCAGTGCCTCATACATGCTAGGCCTGCGCTTTACCACTGAGCCACAACCTCAGCCTAGCAAGAATGTTTTACAAGACAGAATAGCCAATCTGGGCATGGTGGTGTATGCCTCTAATCCCAGCAAGTCAGGAGACTGAGGCAGGAGGATGGCAAGTTTGAGGCCAGTTTCAGCAGCTTAGCAAGACCCTGTCTCCAAATAAAAAATAAAAATAGCTGGGGATATAGCTCAGTGGTCGAGGACTCCTGGGTTCACTCCCCAGTACAACATGATAAAAAATAAGAATGACTGGAGATATAGCTCAGTAGTAGAATACCCTGGGGTTCACTCCCCAGTACAGAGAGAGAGAGAGAGAGAGAGAGAGAGAGAGAGAGAGAGAGAGAGAATGGCCAGCAAGAAGGAATTCTTCATAATGATGAGATAAATCAATGGCTAAAAATGCTTTTTGGAATTTTCAATGGAGTTGAATGGCTATAACACAGATCAGAAAGAATTGAGAAGAATGTGAGAAAATGGAGATGGCAGATGAGTTCAAGTCTTTCAAGAAATTTATAGGCTATGGTTTCTCCCCTCCTCCTCCTGTGCTCCTCCTCCTCCTCCTCCTTTCAGAGACATTCAAATGTTAATGGGAATGAGTGGAAAGACCCCGTGGAAGGAGCAGCGGGAACCAGACACAGGAAGGCGCAGGTGACAGGTGGCCCGAAACCTCTTGACGGCTGGGAGGAGAGCACAGCAGGAGTTACTGACCTGGGAGTGGAAGGGGGAAGTCTGGCCATTTTAATAAAGAAAAGGAGCAGGGGGTGAGTGTAGATTCCCCATTACGTCATTCCATTCCTGCAGAACCATCTGGGAATGAATGCTGTTTCTCCTAATTTGTAAGTGATGTAATGGAGGTCCAGAAAAGTTAGGTAACTTGCCCAGAGTCAGACAGGAGAACTTGGTCTGACCCCAAGCTCATGCTTGCTTGGGTCCAATTGCAAAGGTCACTTAACTGCAATACTTTAATACGTATGTCCTCCTCCGTAAGGAAGTGCCCTAAAAAATGACTGAAATTTAGTTGGGTCCTTGTTTTATGACTTGATAAGCCAGAATGCAAACAGCTTCTACTGGAACTAACACGCAGTGCCATTTGGTAGGGACCTAACAAAAGAAGCTGCCCTTAATTAATGTTTGACCAACTTGGTACCAAAGGTCTGATTTTTCCTGAGTGAAACTTTGCTACAATAAACAACCTTGCTCTTGCCTCTGTGGGTGGCTGAGATGCACCCGCATGCATATCTCATATAATTATCTCTTCCTCCTCCAAGGATCCTGCCATGTGGGTATTATTGTGTCTGTGTGTTACACATGAGAAAACTGAAGCTCAAAGGGTTCAAGTAATTTGCCCAAGGCCACAAAAGAGGTGGTGAGGCAAAGATATGAACTAAAGTCTTTCTGATTCCAAAGTTGTTCTTCCTTTTTCAAGGAAGCATTGTTTCCCGTGGCTTGAGGATAGAAGGGGAGGAGCTGGGTGGAGGGTGAAATGTGAGCCTTTGTAATATTCCCTGGTCTGTAGCCTGCTTCCCAAGATTTTGTCTTTCTTTGTTCAGAACTTAGACAGAGTTGCAGGACTAATCATAGTGAATGTTTGCATAGTGCCAACTATTGTTCGAGGTGCTCTAGGGATAATGACTTGACCCTATTGAGTCATTGGAGCATTATCCCCATTTTTTTTTATTATTTTTTTTATAGTTTGATACACTATTTATTAAGTTATTAATATGGATAGTCTATTACGTAACATTACAGATGTCTTTCAAAACCTAACAAAATAGAGTCCACTATCCAGCCCAGGAGAACAACAATAAATACAAGATCATTCTTATAGAAAGTGTAGCATAAGCACTCACAATAGTCCCTTAGTTATATAGCATTATCCCCATTTATAGAAAGGCTGAGCAACTTGCTCAAGGTCACATAGTCTGTAGGTGTCAAAATCAGAATTCAAACCCAGAAAGTCTGGCTCCCGAGTTTGGAATCTTAAATGGTTATGTATCGCCTTTCAGGCGGGGGCCCTTGGTCTCTCTTTTCCCATATTTTTTTACTGGCACATTATAATGGTGCAACTCATTGTCACACATTCATGAATGCACATGTTCTAAAAATGCTTTTGGCCAATATCGTTCCCCGGTTTCCCCCTTCTCCTCCCCCTTGTCCCTTTTCTCTACCTGCTGGTCTCCCTCAGTCCCTGACTTTCTTTCCCTCTTTCCTCTCTAGCTTCTACATAGGAGAGAAAACACATGACCCTTGACTTTCTGAATTTGGTTTGTTTTGCTTAACATAATGTTTTCAAGTTCTATCCATTTTTCTAGCAAACAACATGATTTCATTCTTTTTTTATGGCTAAATAAAACTCCTTTGGGTGTATATACCACATTTTCTTAACCATTCGTCCGTTGGCAGACACCCAGGCTGGCTCCGTAGTTTGGCTATTGTGAGTCATGCTGCTATGAACGCACTGCTGTATACATGCGGGGTATGCACGTATCGCTAAGTAGGCTGACTTTAATTCCTTAGGGGAAACACTGAGGAGTGCTATAGGACATCCTTCCTCCAGATGTCCTCAGTATTATCCACGGACCTATTGATCTCTGCCCACTCAGTGTCTTTGCCTGGGCGCTTCCCATCTTGCTGTGATGAGTGGTCAGTGCTGAGGAGGCAGTGGCAGGACAGTGGACAAGAAGGCAAACCTCGTCCTTGAAGGATAGGTGGAAGCCACAGGAGTTGCATGATCACACACTTGGCCCCACCGTGTCACTGATTGTTGGCAGCAGGAAATGTGCAGCTTGGGCTAATGGCAGGTCAAAGTGAAGATCTGGTTTAGACAAATTCTTGTATATAATGACTCATTAATAGGCATTATTATAGCTCTCATAGATCTTTTTTTTTTTTTCTTTTTGTATCAGGGATTGAATCCAGAGGTGCTTAACCACTGAGCCACATCCTCAGCCCTTTTTTTTCCTTAATGTTTTATTTTTATTTTTTAAGTTACTTTTTTTTTAGTTGTAGATGGACACAGTGTCTTTATTTTGTTTATTTATTTTTATGTGGTGCTGAGGGTTGAACCCAGGGCCTCACATGTGCTACTACTGAGCCACAACCCCAGCTCTATTTTGAGACAGGGTTTTGCTAAGTTGCTTAGGTCCTTGCTGAGTTGCTGAGGTTGGCTTTGAACTTTTGATCCACTGCCTCATCCTCCCAAGCTGTTGGGATTATAGCTGTTGCTCAAATAGATTTATTTGATTTTTTTTTTTTTTTTTTTTTGTGATGCTGGGGATTGAACCCAGGGCTTTGTACATGCGAGGCAAGCACTCTACCAACTGAACTGTATCCCCAGCCCATCAAATAGATTTTTTTAAGGTTCATTTAATACTTTTATTTTTTAAACCCATGTTTATCTGTCATTGAATTATATCACTTATTTAAAATTTAAAATTTTTTCATATATATAACATAAAATTTAACATTTTAACCATTGTGAAGTATATAGTTCTATAGCACTAGATACATTCTCATTGTTGTGCAGCTGATCTCCAGAACTGTTATCATCTTGCAAAACTGAAACTCTCTACCCATTAGAAAACAACTCCCCCTCCCTCCCATCCCCTCTGTTCCTGGTAACCACCATCCTATTTTCTGTCCCTGACTCTGACTAATCTAGGTACTTCATATAAGCAGATCACAGTATTTGCCTTTTGTTTTTTTTTTTTTTTGGTACCAGGGATTGAACCCAGGGGCACTCGACCACTGACGCACATCCCCAGCCCTAGTTTTTTGTATATTATTTAGAGACAGGGTCTCACTGAGTTGTTTAGTGCCTCGCCATTGCTAAGGCTGCCTTTGAACTTGAGATCTTCCTTCCTCAGCCTCCCAAGCTGCAGAGATAACAGGTGAGTGCCACTGCACCCGGTTAGCATTTGCCTTTTTTGTGACTGGTTTATTTTACTTAGTACAATGTCCTCAAGGTTCATTGATGTCATATCATACATCAGAATTCCTTCTTTTTTTATGGCTGAGTTCAGCTCTGTGTTTGGCCCCTCCATCTGTAACCTGGGAATGCTTGTTAGGAGTTTAGATCCTTGGGACGCTGCAGTAGGGTAGAAGGTTCTAGAGTTCTCAGGGTGCTCTGAGAAAACAGATTAGGGAGAAGTCAAGATTGTTAACATACAAACGAGGAGTGAACTTCAGGTCCTAAAGGTGAATAGGGAGGTACATAAGAATGGGAAAAAGTAGGTCACACAGGCCAGGCAGGGGAGCTGAGGATGGTGAGGATCCTGGAGGGTCAGGATAAGTGGTGGGGATGGCTTGCCCTGTGGGGCTGTTTGCGAGGAACGGGCTGCCTCCAAAGTGCTCTTTGTCGCAGAGGAGACTGAACATTTTTTTGTGCGCATGTGTCTGGTGGGGTGGTGGCCAGAGAGAGCAGCTAAAAGGAATTAAATTAAGGTAACTATTCCCCACTATCATTTCCCTCAAAAGGGTAATTCAATGGACAGACAGATGGACAGACCAAAGGCTGCACACTGTCCTGCACTTGACTTCCACCTTTCACTCTGACATTGTGTCTTGAAGATCACTGGGAGTCAGCACGTCCAGATCTCCCTCAGCCTTTGTCACAACTGCACAATGAGCAGTCACCTCCCCAGCCTCTCCCGGATCTGCCATCTCAGTCGTCTGAGATGTCCTTCCTTTGCTCAACCACTGCTAGATTCAGATTGGGTTCATGTTCGCCTCCTGTCTAAGAGTTGGCCAGTCTCCCAGGCCAGTTCCTTCAATCCCAGCCTCCCCAAGTTGCGCTCCCCTTCTTCTCTGTTATCTCCTGTAAAAATCCTTTCCTTATCAAACTCCGACCTCAGAGCTAACACCAGCCTTTACCACGTCCTTCCCCCATGGTATTTCTGTACTTCACACACTGTCAAGGATTATTGTTTTGAAATCCCCAACTCTTTTTTTGTTGTTGTTTTGTTTTGTTTTTGGTACCAGGGACTGAACCAGGGGCGCTTTACTACTGAGCCACCTCACCAGCCCTTTTTAATAATTTATTTAGAGACAGGGTCTCACTGAGTTGCTTAGGGCCTTGCTAAGTCGCGGAGGCTGGCTTTGAACTCCTGATCCTCCTGCCTCAGCGTCCCTAGTCACTGGGATTCCGCCTGAAACACACAACTCTTGTTCCAACAGAAGGAGAACTCTTTGCAGGCCAGTGACCATGTTTTCTGTCTTCTGTGGCGCTTTAAATCACATCATTGAGTGGAAATTTCAATATTTGTGTATTTTGTAAGAAGGCCAACAAGGCTGGCTGGGCAGGTGGCCTCACCCTGCATCCCAGAGCGGGGTAGGACAGAGCAAGAATCCTCCCTTTAGACCAAGGCCGAGTCATCTGCTTCCTCTTTTCCAGAGAAAGAGGCTGGAGACGAAGCGCGCCAGGGCCTCATGGATGTGTCTAGAAGAGGCCGAAGGAGCCCGGGTAAGAACCAGCAGGCCACGTGGGGGCTGCTCACCCCTTGGTGGCTTTGGGTAACATGACAAATAGGATTCTACATTTGAGCAGTTCAAATTCTGTGCCCAGAGAGCTAATAGAAATTATTTCCCCTTTGATTGACAGGATGGTGTGACAATATTAAAACATTTTCATTTTGATATAACCCCTTTCAGACTGCCCAGGATCATACATTTTAAAAACTATTCAAGCCAGGCGTGGTGGCACATTCCTGTAATCCCAGCGACTCAGGAGGCTGAAGCAGGAGAATTGCACATTTAAAGTCAGCCTCAGCAATTTAGGGAGGCCCTGTCTCAAAATAAAACACAAAAAGAGTTGGGGATATGGCTCAGTGGTTAAGTGCCCCTGGGTTCAATCCCTGGTACCAAAACAGCCCCAAAAAACCATTCGGTAGCTGCAGTCAGAGGGAACACACTGTTTTACAGGCTAATTGGGATTTTGTGGGAAACCAGATGAACAAGTGTTCTGAGGAGGGGGGCCTTTTTCACCCAGATCCTGTGGCCTGTCATCTTGATTTTCTCCCTCTCTCAAATTTGGCGTGACTTGCCTTGGGTTAATTTTTTTCCCTTCCTCTTCAGTTCTCAGAGCATCTTAGGAAGACAAATATGAATCCCCGCCCTGTTTTATCTTTTGCAGCTGGAATGTGATTGGAATGTGAGCGCAGGAGGCCCGTGGGCGGAACACCGAAGGGCATGTTTATGGTCTGACTGTCTCCTCTGGACAAGAGTCAGACCACACTCTCTTTCTCCCAGAGGAGTAGTAATGACCCAAATCTTGGATCTTCTGAGTTTTAAATCGAGAGACCTCGACACCACATTGCACATTTTTTTTTTAATATCTATTTTTTAGTTTTTGGTGGACACAACATCTTTGCTTGTATGTGGTGCTGAGGATTGAACCCGGCCGCACGCATGCCAGGCGAGTGCGCTACTGCTTGAGCCACATCCCCAGCCCAAATTGCACACTCTACCACCTCATTCCTTTAGCACCTCCTGCTTTCCTATACCCCTACGTGCACTTTCCTTCCGTGTGAACTTGCTTCCCTTAGCCATACTGGACTTGAAAGGCCTCCTCCGTACTCTGTGTCCTGGACAGTCCTTTGCTCCATCATTACCTAGTCTGAGGATGGAGCAGAGAGAAGAGTGGCTAAAACCTTGGACCGTCCTGATTGCGTCCACCAGCTCTGCACCTTGGTCAGATGGCTGTGGAGTGGGAACAGTAGTAGTAGCCATCTCACAGTTGTTGGAAGGAGCAAATGATCGTTTCTTTCTTTTTTTTTTTGAGAAGGATCTCACAGTTTTGCCCAGACTGGTTTCAAATTCCTGGACTCGGGCAGTCCTCCTTGTCTCAGCCTTCCCAGTAGCTGGGGCGGCAGGTGTGTGCCTTCATGGCTTAAATGAGTTAATACTGGTTAAGCAGCAGAACAGGGTGTGGGACGTAACACGAACTCAATAAGCAGTAGTGTTGCCCAAATGTCTGCTGATCTGTCTCTTACACAAAATCCTCTCTGACTAGTCTCACCCTGCCCACCTTGATCCCTTACCTTACTCCTCATTCCTAAGAAGAACACATTGGGGACTCAATTTACTCAAATAGTACTGTTGAGACAGCTGCAGGATAAAAGGAAGGAAACGACATCTGGGTTCAAATTTTGACCCACTAAGTACTGTGAGCCGTTGAGGGAGTTATTTGATTCTTTGTTTTGTCATGAATAATAAAATGAATATTTTATTATCTGAACAGGGTTATTGTGAGGAGTGTTTAAGAAATATCTCTATAGGTCCTGATTCATGGTGGATCCTCAATAAACACACTTGCTCTTTCAAAGTATATTATTTAGAAATTTTTTAAAAGTATTTTTTAGTTGTAGATGGATGTCATTTCAGTTACTTATTTTTATGTGGTGCTGAGGATCGAACCCAGTGCCCCACATGTGCTAGGCAAGTGTCCTACCACTGAGCCCCAGCCCCAGCCCTTACTTAGAGTTTTTGTTTTCTAGATTATAAAAGTAGAATTGTGATAGAAAATTCAGATAACTTAGCAGAGAATGAAATTAAAGTAATAAAAAACATATCCGAAGACAACTTCCCCAGCCAGTAACTCTGATGCTGGGAACTGAACAGAGCTGGGTGTATTTCCTTTGTCTTCTTCTGTGTGTGTGCACACATGTGCCTGTAGATTCACAAGCAGGCACGGATTTATGAGAGAAAGGAGCCCCGTTATGTCCTAATTTTGCAGGCTGTTTTACTTTGCATTGACATTTCTCCATCACATTTAATAGTCTTCCAAGTCATGGTTTTTATGAACAATAGAGCATCCTCCGTACCTCTCTTCATTTTTCCAACCATAACTCTGTTGTTGGACACCGAGGTTTTAATTCGTTATTCTAAATTGTGCTGCATCGAATATCTTTGTACATGAATTTTGTAAGTGTTTTTGATTACTTTGTTTGGAGATTCCTAGGGATAAAAATTCTGGGTCAAGTGGAGTCGGGGGAGGGGATCAGGAAGAGGGAGGAAGAGAAGGAAAGGGAAGGTTCTAGGAACCAAATTGACCGAATTACAGTTATATTGCCACCTGTATGAATGTGTAACAATGAACCCCTGTTACCTGTAATTACAATGCACCAATAAAAAAGAGAAGGAAAAAAAAAAACTGGTCAAAGAAACGACAATGAAGGGTCCCAGTACACGTTGCTTTCGTCTTCCCCAAAGGCTGGGTAGATTCCTGTCATCATCCCATGCCGTCAGTGTCACCTCTGCCCATGCTCTGTTGTGTTACTCAGCTTTTTGTCTACTTTATCTGTTACCTTTCAACCGAGCGGCGCCTCCTCCAGCAGGCGGGCGCTGTGCCCATCTGATTCTTCAACACCTGCCACAGGGCTTTCCTGGGAGTCACTCACGAGGTGGCCACACAAATGATCTCTGTTTACAGTTATCCCTCTGGGCTAAGGGTTGGAGAAGTCGCCTGAACAATCGCTTTCAAGTTGAGAGGAAGTTTATAGACTTGTCCTCAGTCTCCCAGAGAGACTGACCGGAGAGAAAAGCATCAACTCACAAGAGAATTGCCTGATGTGACAGGGACAGGGTAAGTCCCTTGGAATGGGTCCAAGAGGGAAAATGCAGTGTTTTCCAGGGTCAGCGTTGGAAAGTGACCGCCCGCGCTGCTGTCTGTTATGCCTTCACAATGGGTGTGGAGAGGGGCGGGACCTGCTTTTACAACTCAGCCATGTAGCAGAATGAGTGGAATTTTCCAGAAGGTTCCTGTTGTTGGCTGTTGGCATAATTGCAGCTTTGCCCTCTGGGAGCCATTAGGCTGCAGTCCTGAAGCCTACACAGCTATTTTAGCAGGTCAGATAGTGGGTCTTGTGTTTTTGTTGGTTCAAAGAGCCATGTAGGATTTCACACCATAAATATCATTTTTATTTCCCTTGCACTGGCGCCCTACTAAGTGCTTTGAATGGGGCGAAAGTGAGGAAGGTGTCACCCCTCCCCCAACACACAGAGACACACACCCATCCCAAATGCAGTGACTTGGATGATTCCCTGGCAATGGGCACCTCCATGAATGCCAGAGTCTGTGGAAATCTGGTGGGAAGGACACACTGCTTCAGGATTTCCCCAAATCTACACTCCCACTGAATCGATACTTCCTGTTTCTTTCCCCTAAAGAGTCTCCTCTTCCTGGGACAGGTATCTTTCTGTTGTCAGCAAAAGGCTTGGAGAGGGAAAGTTTGCAGGGTGGGGGCATCTGAGCTCATGATCGTAATTCCCCGTGTTAGTTTCATGTGTCTTCTGTGAACTGACCGCTAATCTTCACTGTAGCCAGTAAACACAGTTCCCCTGGGGCAGGTAAACCAAAATGGGAAGTCTAGCCTGATACACATTCTCCCGGAGGAGAGATCATTGCCTTGACATGATGGGCCAATTCATTCTTGTGCTTATCCAAGGTTACCTTTTAGGACCTCCTTTTCCCAGAACCACAACTTACAATTAAGAATTATCTTAAGTCAGCCCGCTAACTCTCCATGTGCAGAGCTGACATGTGGAAAATGTAAAACCTTTCCCCAGACTCCCTTGCAGTTAGGGTTTTGGTGTGATTGAGATGCTGTCAGTCAGATGCACCTCCTTGAGACCTGGATGTGGGACCGTCGTGTGTGGAAAGAGGCCGGGCAAGCGGCATCTGTGTTTGCTTCTGTGGACTCTGCCGCAGGTTGGATGGTTCTAGAGCTACCAGCTACAGCAATGGTTTCTCAGTTCAGCTGGCCGCTTCAGGAGCCAGCTGCACCCTCGGTGGCCCAGCCTTAGAGCCTGGGCCTGGGAGTCATTTCTGAAGTTGATCTAGTTGTGTTGATTTAGCTAGCCAATTCCACTCCATCATTCAACCCCCCTGTAACAGACCCTTCTCGTAAACCTGCTGTACTTTGTCTCACCTTGTCCATTTGTCGACTGAGACAGAATAAAATGATTGAAATTTTATCCTTGACTTTATTATGGGTCTTTCTCTGATGCTAGCTTCGAACTATTTGTATGATTTTCCTTGCAATGGAAAAAGATGACTTGATATCACACTTCTCAGATTTATATGAAAGGTCTTCCTGGAATTATACTGATGTGTTCAATCACAAAATGAATGTTTCTAGGGCTGGGCTAGGTGGCTGGCACATGCCTGTAATCCCAGCGGCTTGGGAGGCTGAGACAGGAAGATCAGGAGTTCAAAGCCAGTCTTTGCAATGGTGAGATACTAAGCAACTCCGTGAGACCCTGTCTCTAAATAAAATACAAAATAGGGCTGGGGATGGGGCTCAGTGGTCTAGTGACCCTGGGTTCAATCTCCAGTACCAAAAGAAAAAAAAAGTTTCCATCTTTTTTTACCTATCTAATTGAAATAATGTGATGGGTCAATTTATGGAATTCATACATTGTGTCTCCATTAGTAATAATATAATGTTTTATATATATGTGTGTATATATATTTGTGCATATATACATATATATGCATATAAGTATGCATACACACACACACACACACACACAAATATGAAACAGCCTGTAACAGGCATAGTAAAGGGCTGGGAGAAGTATTTTGCTATTGATCAAGCCATCAGTACTGGCACTTCATTTTCAACAAAAGAGCTGCACCCTCTGTATAAGTCATATCTAGATATTTCCTGACACCTGGGAGTTGACTCAACAGGTGTTAATATGGCATTATTACTAGGACTCATGCCCTCCCTCCACTTGTTCTCTTATGGGCTCAATTTTGCCCTACAGTCTGCTGCAACTTGGCTTTGAAAAATGGGTCTGGACGTCTCAGGCATCATCCTGGCTGGAGAAGCACTGACTTAACGGGGTGAGGCCATGCTCAGTGATTATAAAATCAGACTTGTTCCTGCAGAACACTTGCATACCCCTTCCAGTTTTGGTCCTTCATGTCGACAGAGTAACAGGGCAGAGCAGCACTTGGATATCTAAGTTAGACTCCAAGACTGAATGGAAAATGCTTCCCCATTTGGTAGGTTCTGTGCAAAGCACTGGCTAACCAGGGTACACTGCCACTTTATGAACCAGAGAAGCAGGGAATAAGCATTTCAGAAGCAGCAACAAACATGCCATCTCAAATTCAGAACTAAAAAAAAAAAAAGAGACTTTATTGAGGGCAAGAGGATGCAAACAATATAAAAATCAAAAGCTTTAGCTTTCTGTTTGTCAAATGGGAGTTAGACATTATTTGCACATTTTCTAAGGTCCTGATCCTCTCCTGAAATCTTTACACAAGGGGAATCGGTGGGGCAGGTTCCTGAAGCAACCCTTTGGGAGATCTTTATAGGGCGGGGAGAATTGCTGGATTCTTTACTTCTTTCCCTTCTGCTTCATGTGTACCACAAAATAGTCATTGCATGCGATGGTGAGGCCTGCGATCAGCGAGAAGAAGCTCTGGAAGCCCACTTTGCCGTCTCTGCACTGGTCCAGGTCTTTCATTATTTTGTCCACAGCCAGAGGGTCTTTTTGATTCTGGGTTAAAAAAAAGAAGAGAGGCAATACATATCAGTCAGTGATTGCAATGACGAGCTTGTCTGATTTGCACCACAGACAGCCATGTGCCTGATCTCCCAGTTATTTGGGTCTTCTCGTAGGTCACCAGTGACTTTCATAAGTCTTTAGGGAGCAGTTCAGTAACTTCACATTTATATTCTGCCTTAAAACCCACTGTAAACTCGCCATTTTTTAGTTTAAAATTACATTCTTCTTCATCATATTCCAATCCTTTACAAAGGAAACTCCTATGAAGAGATCTCATAAGATTATTAGGGAGCAAGCGTCAGGTCACTGCCGTACCTATCTAAAGGAGGTGCTAATGATGCCTGGGCTCCCTCAGGGTTTTTTTTTTTTTTTTTTAAAGAGAGAGAGAGAGAGAATTTTTTAATACTCATTTTTTTTTTTAGTTTTCGGCGGACACACATCTTTGTTTGTATGTGGTGCTGAGGATCGAACCCAGGCCGCACGCATGCCAGGCGAGCGCGCCACTGCCTGAGCCACATCCCTAGCCCGCTGCCTCAGGTTTTGAGAAGTGGGGTAGACAGCTCTGTTTCCTCTTTGGCATAGCTGAGGCCATGCTAGTGACATCAGATCACATTATCCATGTGACCTTGAGTAAATCCAACAGCTCAGCACAATTTCATGTATCAACTGTGAATGGAGGAGCCTGGCCTGGGGTGTCATCCCTAGGGTCCCTGCCGTTCTGTGAGTTGGTGAGTCATGCATCCTGTACTCCTCCCTGGATGCTGTACACAGGACCAACTTCAAGAGGAACATGTAGGACGGAATCACAAACCCCCGAGGCCAGGTCTGAACGCAAGGCAGCCGTGGGGCGGGTGGCGAGATCCCGCGGGCTTTCCTCATGCCTTCATGGTGACTGGCCTGGTCACCTCTCCACAGTGACGCTGGTTAGAAGTGGTAAAGTGACGTGTCTCTTTCTGGTCCAGCCATCAACCAGAGAGAGAACCACAGCCCATTTGAGGTTGTTAAAAGGCTCAGGTAAAGTATTTATGAGTTCCAGCGACTACACAACTGAGCGGGACCTGACACTCGGCGATTCAAGTGTGCGGGATGTTCATATTGTACTCAGACACCCCTTAAGGTAAAGCCACCACATTTCCTAGCGAGAACTCCTGCCCTAAGTGATCAACTAAAACCTGCCCCATGCAGCTCACTCTGGCCTGCCTCCAGCTTCCTGGCTGTGATCAGGAGTGACACTGCATGACATAAGGGATCTACTTTAGAGCAAAATGTAGTGTATGTGTGTGTGTGTGTGTGTGCATGTGCATGTGCGTGTGTGTCTGGAAAGATGACCCTGTTTCTGGAATAAATCACCCTTCCATGTTCAGCACTCCACACTACTCACACCCTTTGTATTCTGGTTTCTAACTTATTCAACAACATGATTAACAAGTTTTAACAAGTTTTACTGTTGAGAACCCCTTTGTCCATGCGGTGGGCTGGTTCATACTGAGCACATTTTGTTCTTGTGTACTCTGCTGGCCTAAAAGATCACAGAAAGTGAAAGCGATCTTGCAGATAAATCACACCCATCCCTCTCAGTTTACTGGGTCCCAGAGAGCTGAAGCCTCCTGTCCATTGTTAGTTAGGCCAGAGCCGGCTCTTCTAACCCCTGGTCTGGGGCTACCTCAAAGGGATCTACCACAGCAGAATGACTGACTATTCTAGCTCTTTCTGGG